TACTTGGTCATACTGACGCATTATCCAGACTGATTGCCGATTGCACGTCCAAGACACCGGATGAATACATTGTTGTATGCAGCATCAGCTTAGATCCCGAGATTAGACAAGTATTTTAAACATCCATATGTCAAATTGCAGTAACAGCAGACGCAGTCCGATTAGAAATAACAAATGATCCCCTGTTACAACGTATTATTGGTACCTTAGTACTGGTTGGCCAGCACGCCGTTTGGAAATTTATGGTGAGCAGTTTCGTAAAAGGAAGTTTGCCTTAACCACCATTGATGGTTGTTTGATGTTAGATGACTGCGTTGTGATTCCCAAGCTTCTGCAGAAGATGATTCTCAGTTAGTTTCATGAAGATCATCCGGGAATCAGTCGTATGAAATGCATAGTCCGCAGCTATGCTTACTGGCCATTCATGGACCAGAATATTGAAAATGTTGTTCGTTCCTGTAGCAGCTGTGTTGTGGCAGCAAAAGTACCTGTCTAGTGTGAGGTTCATTCCTGGCAAAATCCAACTGGACCATGATCTCGCATTCATATTAGTTTTGCCGGACACGTGGAGGGTTTCTGCTATCTGATTATTGTCGATGCTTACTCAGTGGCCCGAATTTTTTCAAATGAGGTACGCAACTACTTCCGCTGTTTTGCTACGTCTACACCATCTTACCTCAGAGTTTGGTGTTCCCGAAACGCTTGTTTCGGACAATGGTTCCCCATCTAATTTTCAAGAGTTTGCTGACTTTTGCAACTCACATGACATTGCACACATACACACTCCAGCGTACCTTCCACAGTCAAACGGCATGCTGAACGTTTTGTCGATACGTTTAAGCGAGCATTGGTTAAAACAGAGGGAGAGGGGAATATCCAGATCATCGACAAATTTTTGCAGATCTACCGTACGGCGCCAGGTCCAGCATCTCCATCAGAAGCGTTGCTCGGTAGACGTGTCAGAACGGTATTCGATGCTTTGAAGCCATCGCTACCCAAGGGCGAGCGCAATCTGCAGATGGAGTTGGCTTTTACTCTCCAACATGGAACGCACCCCCAGCATTTCATGCCTGGTGCTAGTGTGCACGTAAAGAATTTTCGTGACAGAAAATTAGGTTGGATTTCTGGCCCTGTGATTGAACGGATTTCGTGTTTTGTACAGACTACAGGTGGATTCCATCATATGGACCCCGTTTTGAAGTGCAAGGGACGCCCCAAAACCAGGAAGCTTCAATACCGTTAGACATTTTGCTGGACACGTATCAAATTACCCCGTCGGAACAGCCTGTCGTCCAAACAAAAAATGCAACAACAGGTCGAATAGACTCAACGCGAATCAGAGCCCCAATGCAGAGACTCGAGGTTAACCCAATACTTCAAACATACGAATCAACCGTGGCGTGCTATACAGTTCAGTTTAAAGGAGGTGTTGGCGTCACGCTTGACAGTCGTTCACAACTACACCATTTCCCGCCCACGTTGTCCCCTTGGGCAACAGAATTAATCTGGGGCATTCAACATGAGTCTACTCAATTAATTTGCTCCGTGCGTAGGAGCTGAAGCGTCCCACCTGCACCCCTATGACAGTGCGTCTGAGGTCCAATTGGCTGAAGGCGACGGGCTATACACGCACACCTACACAAGTGACTGGTGTACACACGGAACAAATTAATTGCATAGACTCATGTTGAATGCCCCTCAGATTATTTCTGTTGACCAGGAGGACAACTTGGCCGGGAAATGGTATAGATGGTTGACATTTGTGATTGCCCTGGTACGTGACTGTGTTGGACGCACGCACAGTAGTCGTTCAGAGTTAGGCCGTTGAGCATTCATGACCATGTCCTTACATGTGGTTGGCTGATTGATCTTTGTGCATTTCTGTTACTCCGGTATGTCAATTTTTCAGTACAGCTCGTCAAGCAAGGTGTCTTCTTTCTTCCCTTTCAGAGTGAGTTGTGTTGCAGTCAGACGTTATAATACAAGTGTAGATTGCAAAGTACGTAGTTGGCAAACCGTAAAACTTACACGCTCACTTCTATGGAATGTCCTATCAGCTGCTAGCAAGTCTTACACGAATGCAAGAACATTCCGAATGGAAGGGAGTTTGTCTGGACTACAGTTCTATAATGGCCATATTTGCATCAGGAAAAGCTTCAAAGCAATTCTCTTAGGATGGACCCAACATATGTACCTAGTGGGACAAAAGGTTACACAAAACCTATCACCATAAAATAGCACGTATTTAAGGTATTGGCAACACAGACATTATTGAATACTTATCTCGCTCATGCAAAAGCACGATTCAATTTAACCCTACAGACGTTTCTCACTATATCAAATGTGTTGAAGATCTTTGACTCACAGCAAGCTAGAAATATTGACAGAAGCTGGTATAAAAAATATATGGGCAGATATTCGCTTACAACTAGCTTACCCACTACATGTCATTACTTACAATACCAAATCCTGTGTCTGTGCAGCCTAGTGTCCCCTTCCTTTTTATTATCTACTCCTGAACCCCACAAACTAGAAAACGATGCTACAAATATCGGTAAATTTTCCATATTAGGTGCTTGGGTCTAGAACCTGAGGAAAAAATATCATGATCCGAAATTCTATTATTAGACTTTCCTTTATTACTGTGAGCTACGCCGCATAAACCATGAAACCTATTCACTATACAAATGATCGCTCCAGCTTATGTGGCCATGTACCGTTTGTCGACAAATATACAAGGTTATTTATTTTTTTATTTATTTACTAGCCTCTGGTACATCCGAGAAGTATAGGTGTTATAGTCGGCCAACTTTTTCATCTTCTTGCTGCATTTCATACCGAACTCACCGCAATGGCTGCTTCGTATACAAATATAATCAGTATTTTGCAGATGCAATGAAAGGGTTTGATTTCATCCAACCGGTAGAGCACAGGGAAGACAATGGTACGGTGCAGGTGGGGCTGTTCTTTGGATCTGGTATTTGGTTAAAACTCTTTAAAAATGTTATCTAACGGACTGTCGTTGTCTTCTAGTTCCTACCGTCATAGATACTGATGTCCAGTGATTGGGCTGGCTAGCTAGCCGAACAACCTCTACGTGATACCAGCTGGGTGGTCCGGTTAATCCTATTCCAGCTAATGGTTCGGCGGCAGTGTTCCAGGACGTGGTGGGTTTTCGCCTGGCAAGCGTTTGCCCTATAAAAAGCCACAAATGTCTGTTTAACAACACAGAGATATAGCGGATATGATTCGTCACTGAATAAAGTCACTGCTTCCTGCCTTTCCAAAGGATCCTATCCACTCGCCGACGTCAGCCAATTCGAAGAGATTATGTGATCCCTTTCTAGGTTGCCGGATTCACAGAACACAACCACAAATTCAGCACAACAGTAACAAATTCACTCAACATCCTTACTAACTCATGCACTTAAATATGTATATAAAACAACTCCAGTATGTACTAGTTACAAAGTAACACTTGTGACAGTTACTGATTATACCTTTAGACGTGTCTCGCACTGTCGTAAATAAAACACTTATTTATCTCACTAAATCGTTAATGGTTCTAAACTTACCCCTTCTAGTTATGCCATAATTTCCTATTACCAAATATCCACCCATCTGTTCGCACCTTTAGACTAAAGTTTGTGATGGACGCTAGGTGACACTGTAAAGGAGCACAGCCGAGCCGATCCAAATATACACCGCTTCTTCTGAATGGAGTCAGGTACACCTTGATTCAATGCTCCTTCTGAAATGAGGTGATCAACAAGCCGATAGTATTCTCGATTCCGGTTCGCGCCGTGCAACTATTAATCTATCAGGCAAACTGTTCGCACCTTTTATTGCTATCATTATCATTGTTATTTGCTTGATTATTCCTTCTTTATTATTGCTAATTACACTTCCTACTGTCCGCACTAGTTGATGCAACTCAGTTCAAAGTACTCCGGCAATGTTGCCTTGGATGCTTACCTCAGATGAGATGACTTGCAGTGTTTTGCAATCTCCGTGCAGCAGTTTTGCACATATGCGTCGAGCGAACTATCAGGTGCAGAGTGAATAAGTTCACATATCGGACTTGAGTAGTTTCAGCGGACGCAGCGAACTGACCTTAAGTACCTAAAGTACAGTGGACAGTATCTAATCACCAAAATGCACTTCAAAAAGATGGATAATGTTTGATCTCTGCGGTGCACGTATCACCCTTGCGTAGTACTAAGTTACTGTACTCGAGTTTTACGCCGTATCGAGGCTACATTGGTTTTAAAGTGACTGCATTTATGCAGACACTAATAAAGTTCACGTTTACCTCCTCCGTCGCAGTTACCACAGCTGAATTATTCGACAAAACGGGTAACTGTTGTCTACTTCGTCCGAAGGGGAAACGCAATTCTACTTTCTGGTGGCAGCTTGTCGTTGGGGCGAAGAGGACCGACACGGTGTATGCCGACAGCAGGCCAGTTGTCGCCGGCTCTAGCTGGTGGTTCGGTGTTGCTCCTCCCAACCCTGAGAACTGGCTCAGCCTGGTGTGAACAAAGTACAACCTAGTCAACGGATGAAGCAAAGCGAATTGGTTTGAACAGCTACGTGTGAACAAAGCGTGTCCGTCAAAGGTCCCACCCTAGCTGCACGGGATGAGATTGCAGCTGGTCCACGGAGAAAACAATGGTGACGTCTAACGAGCGTAGAGAAAATGAATCAAGAGCCCCCACGCGAGTTGGCTAACATCAAGCGTGCCAGACGGACAGCGAAGCAGTGGTGCGGCCAAGCATGAGTCAAATTGACCGTAGCCGTAGCCAGAGCAGAAGTGGACTGGATCGGACAGTCAATCAACATCGCACACCAACCAACGGACGTAGACAAAGAAAGTGAAAAGGAAAGCAACTAAAGAGTGCCTACAATGTGTGTACAATATAAACGCTGCCTCATTATACTATTAACAGCTTTCGATCTCTGTTCAGACTATGTTTTAACTCTTGGAGGGCTACCCAGCTTACTTCTTACCTCGAAATTGAGGGAGCCGTTGTGTTCTTTGTCGAATGAGCGAAAGACCAGTTGAGCGTACATTGTAGCATCTGCAACAAGAGGAATAACATGGTCTGGGAAAACGTAATAACAACAGAAATAAATAAATGTGGCTAAGTAAGGTAGTGTTTTTAGGGCCGTCAGTCCCCAATGGATATAACTACCAGGCAACTGGCTTTTGCAACTAATACTATCAAGCGGTTTACAGTTAGGCCCAGAAGTCTTGTTCCATTTTACTCTGTTACCTGGAGACCAAAGGTGAGCGGAGGGCGCACTAAATTGCCAATTGCCCAATAGTAGATGTTGGTCTATCTCAAAATATCTCTTACCCGAGTACATGGATGTGAACGACCGCAGTGATGGCCGTATGCATGCATGTGGGTGCAGGTGTACTTAGCAGTCTCGTCCATCGTGAAAACGCTAGATGGGCGCGGATAGTTGAGTTGAAGTCAACTAAGACACGCCACAGGGCAATTTCAAGCGTCGGCACATACCGTGTTTTGGGCTGGTTGGAACGAATGAAGGCGTGCAAAATCAAGACAGTAGTGCATCCTTACAGAGGTACTACGGTAGAATTGTGGTGGCGCTTGGGCAAGCCTAACCGACCTGAGCAAAGAGCGTCCAATAGGTGGCTTAGTGTTATCCCAGCTAATAACGAAAGGGTTATTGGCAACCTCCTTGTATACAACGTTAGCTTCCAATAATCCACTTTAGCCAAATAAACATTACTTAAAACCAGGCCTAGCAAATATGAAATGTAAGGTTTTGCGAAGGAATCTTGAAAAGTTATGCCGCCTAAATACTACTCACTTCCACACAACCTATTCTCCCGTCACAGTCTTGGGCGTTCATTCCAACATATTTACTGACGAAGCAATATTCCATCAGCATGAAACAGAAAGCTAGGTTTCTAGGCAATATCTAAGCCTCGCGGATACTAAGATGCACGTGTTTCGCAAAGCGCGAAACTCATTGTCAAGTAAACTGTTTGAAAAAGTGTAGGACTACAGCACACGCGGGGGTTATCACACATACGGTCCACTACAAGCCAGTTACCCCTGTGAAAAATTTTGATACACACAAGATGCTTTATTAATCATATCCGAAGCTAGGAGCGCCTACACTCAAGTGTTGACGTACTCAGACACACTAAATTGCTACCTGTCCAATGGCCCAATTTGCTTTGCTGGCCAGGATCAGGTGGGCCACAGAGGCACGACATGTGTGTTTACGATCGCAGAGCACACAGAGCCGTTCGGCTGTGAGAAGTGAACGTTAGCAAACATCGCAGCCGCACTCGACCTGTCATGATCGCAGGGCAAGACCCACAGGACGCAGGCCGTTCGGCTGTGGGAACTGGACGTTAGCCAGACACCACAGCCACACTGAGCGTGCCATGCTTGGATCGCTCAGTAGTCGGCCTTCACACATGTGAAAAGCAGCAAAAGGATTCCCTGCGAAGTGGTTAGTTGGTCGCTGTGCTAGCAACTGAGAAAAACAGCCTGGCTGTATGTGATGACCGGTCGATGCGCATCCGTACCGCTATTGCCACAAAGGCTGTTGTCGCCTCACGACTGGTTTCCAACAAACCTGTAAGATTTTATTAGGCTGCTTTCGCTGCTATAGGGAATCATACTGCCGGGGGCACACTGTAAGGTTATAGTGTTATTCGCTTTACCGTTTCGATTGCGTGTGTGTTGCAGCTGAAAATGCACCCTTCCTTGGTGCATAAAACGAATTCTTGACTTGACTTGACGTGACAATGCTCGTAGATTACATTTTGCTCCGATGCACTGTGGCACCGTTAGACAGCACACCAGTCTAGTCACGAATGCAGCTATTGTCCTCACAGTCAGACAAATGTTAGTTGCACAAATTGATCAGGCCCTCGATGGTGTTTCCCTTGTGCAATAGAGAATATACATTTATTCATTTCTGTACTTATATTTAAGTGAAATGTGTGAAATAGCTGTAATTATCAAGCAATTAAGTGCTTGCAACCTCAAGCTCGCACCGTCACAGATGAAGTATCAGCTGGCGTGGTTGTGCAAGTGGTGTGCAGTAACACCCACCTCAGCATTCTGCAACTCGCAAAACATGGTGAAACTACACCGTATGCTGCGCATCGGATATTGAAAGAAAAACTATTCCGGCGGTACATTGCACTGCAGGTGCAAGTGTTGAACGCATACGCTTCACAAAGCACTTGGAATTTGCCCGTTTTTTTAAACCGCCTGTACGTGCCTACCATTTTGTTCACCGATGAGGCGGTATTCCCTCTGCATGGCGAAGACACGCAATATGTTTTGCCAACAACCAACCCACGGCAGTGTAGCTCTTCACGTGTGCAACATAGCGCGGAGTTCATGGTCTGGGCTGGGTTGACTGGTCGAAAAATCATTGAGCCTTTTATCTCTTCCAAGAGTGTGCCCGGTAGGTTATTGTTTAACATTACTAATGTCTGACATTTCTTAGCATCCTCGTACATTGAAATGTTGCAGAGCAGCGTCATTACGCAGTTGCAGTCGGAAGAGTTAATGAATAACGTTTGATGGTAGCAGCATGGCTCACCTGCACATTAGGCGCACTCGGTTCGTGCCTACCTGAACGAGACTTACGGTGGATGTTTGATCTGTCGCGGAGAACCGATAGAATGGCCTGCGCGATTACTGAATCTGAATCCCATGGACTTTTCCTATGGGGATACTTGAAGCGCAGAGTTAATAAAAAGAAACCCAAAAACTGCGATTCACTGAAAAAGAATATTGGGAACGAATTTAGGCAGATTTCTTTTGAGACGTTGCAGAAACTGCTCGTCAACCCCATCGGGCGAATGCTTCATTGTAGCCAAAACGACGGAGGGTACTCCGAACATCTATTTCTTTGATATTTACAGCTATTTCACACATTTCACTTAAATATAAGTACAGAAATGAATAAATGTATATTCTCTATTGCACAAGGGAAACACCATCGAGGGCCTGATCAATTTGTGCAACTAACAATTGTCTGACTGTGAGGGCAATAGTTGCATTCGTGACTAAAATGGTGTGCTGTCTAACAGTGCCACCAGTGCGTCGTGGCAGACTGAAATCTAAGAGCATTGTCACGTCAAGTCAAGTCATGAATTCGTTTTATGCACCAAGGAAGGGTGAATTTTTAGCTGTAACACACACGCGATCGAAAAGGTAAAGCGAATGTGCTCCCAGCGGTATGGTTCGCTTTAGCAACGAAAGCGGCCTAATAAAAGCTTACGAGTTTTTTGGAAGCCATTCATGAGGCGACAACAGCTTTTGTGGCCGTAGCAGTACGGATGCGCATCGACCGGTCATCATATACGGCCAGGCCGTTTTTCTCATTTGCTAGCACAGCGACCCACTAACCACTTCGCAGGGAATCCTTTTCTGCTTTTTCACATGTGTGAAGGCCGACTACCGAGCGATCCAAGCATGGCACGCTCAGTGTGGATGTGGTGTCTGGCTAACGTCCAGTTCCCCCAGCCGAACGGCCTGTGTTCCGTGGTTCTTGCTCTGCCACCATGACAGGTCGATTGCGGCTGTGGCGTTTGCTAACATTCACTTCTCACAGCCGAACGGCTCTGTGTGCTCTGCGATCGTAAACCCACACGTTGTGCCTCAGTGGCTCACCTGACCCCTGCCGGCAAAGCAAATTGGGCCATTGGACAGTTAGCAATTTAGTGTGTCTGGGTACGTCAACACCTGAGTGTAGGCGCTCTTAGCTTCGGATATGCTTAATAAACCACCATATATTGCTGGAAACTCCGGTTAACAACTTCAAACTGATCGATATGTGTTATCTTTTATGTTCCTCTTTTCAAATAATCCCATAGGTAGTATATATAGTCCAATTCTGGTGGCCAGGCAGGCCAATCCTTTGGACCTCTACGACCGATCCACAAGCGACCGAACAACACAAAATAACGTCGGGCCGTTTGTGCATAATGGACAGTTGTGCCATACGGAATCTATAAAGGCTGAAGCGAAGTGCCGAAGTAGCCAATGATAATCGGCGGTGAAAACGTCTCTCTGGTAGCTCTTACGTAATTTTCAGGACAGTTCCCTTAGCACTGGAGAAGCACGAAAGTATGCGGTATACCGGCAGTCATAACTGAGTTACTTGGCAAACACGAGGGTTATGTTATATGGGCAACGGATGTACTTGAACCTAGATTGCAAGAAGCGCGTAACGCAACCTACTGAGCTTCAGCATTTTCGATCAGCGCTGTCAACTTTACAGTAAACATCAACCGTGACGCCTGCCCATTGTCGAGTAATCGATCGATCGCGCTTTTCTCACGTGCCTATCTTGTTTTAACTGATCCTAGCGTTCATCCAATTTCGCCGAAGTATTCGCACTATTACCCATTGCAAAAATGTGCTAGTGAAATCAATCATTACGTATCACACATACATTTACGTGAAATACGTTTTAAGAGCGTACACATCAACGAAGCAGTTGTTATAAATGAGCGCCGTCGCTTCGCTTGCAAAACAGTATTCGCCAGCACTTTCTGCAAAATGTCCACTGACATCTCGCGACGTTTCTTGGCAATGCTCAATTCCTTTGGCCTGCAGTGCTGGAATGACACAGGTCTAAACGATTTCTTTGTAGGAGGAAGCTAACAGATGTGAAGCGTCAGTTACCCGTCATAAAGTCAATGAAGTAGATGTTCAAAATGACGGCCGTCGTTTTGCTTACAGAGCAGTACACGCCAGATGCTGTTGGCTAGGACTTTCAGTAATGTGTACACCGAGATATCGCGACATTCGTTTAAGATGTTCCGTTTCAGTTCCTCCAGACAGGTTGGCCTGGTTTTACACACTCGGTGTTTCAAATACTCTTATAGGAAGAAATCCAGGGGTTCAAATTAGGAGACCGTGCAGGCCAATCCATAGGTACTCCACAACCGATCCAACGATTACCGAAAGTTTCTTTACGGTAATTATGTAACGTTTGTGCAGAATGGGCAGGCGCACCATCCTGCTGCCACCAAACGGTACTTAGTAAGCCTTCAGCCCGCAGCTATGGA